GAGACACACGTGAGTGAAGTGAACCGTATCGGTTGAACTGAACACCTGTGACCCTGGGTGTGGCCGAAAAAAGGAAGGTCCCATGGAGGAGGATGCGACCATCCTCCATGGTTGATGAAGAAAGACTGACCTAGGTGGCGACCATGGGGTCTGATGAAGCTCGACCGTATTCATGGAAAGAGAATTAACGGAACGTATACTAACGAGACAGTGTGATTCTTCACGCATCAGGTGACATCTACTCGAACCTTGAGCAGACATCACCCCCTTAAACGGCCTTCCGACCTTGAGGCAAATTAGGAATCAAGGTAGATCACAGGCAGAAATGGGGCTATGGATGATATTTATGAAGAAAAAAATTGGGATGAACCCTTGGAATTGAAACAACAGCAAAATGTTTTAGGTTTCTCATTAAAAAAAAAAAACACTAAAAAAATGTGAAAATTTCACAAAATGTATAAAATATTATTGTTTAAAAAACAACAAAAATTTCACTTTTTTTTAGCTGTGTTGACAAAATTTTGGCACCCTGTGACATGAGTGGAGAAACTGCGCCAAACATTGAAAAGTTTTCACTCATCATCATGCAAAAAATCGTGATTTTTTGTTATCTGAAAAAATTCCCAGAGCCTCAGAACGTCACGGGCTAAATTATAAAATTTTATTTTAAGGGGTACCCCACTCTAAAAATACCCAAGACCAAGACCAAGTAGGACAACCCTTGTATCTGTTGTGGAAGTACAGTACAGTACTTTAAACATGTACAGCATCATTACCTGTTTCCCATAAAATATTAGTCCCTGCTCAAAAAGCCATAAATCTCATTGTAACGATTTTTTTTCAAATCCATGGGAGTTTGCTGTAACGAGATTTTGCTGTTTTCAAGATTTCGACTATACTGCCTAGAATTTTTTTAAGGAAAATGTTTCCATGATTCAACCGAGTTTTTCAATGCGTTCATTCAAATAAAGACGATCGATAAAGTAAAACAGTTCAAGGCGTTCTCAACGAATGAACCTGGCGCACATGCCTTTGAGTTTGGCGGTTCCAGCGGGTTTCCCTTCTTTCCCCAACTTCGTGATGTCATCAAAGCACCAATCGGGATGATCGCCATCAGCCAGCAACTTTGTCAAATCAAACTGAGCATTGTCGCCCAAAGCACGACCCTTCTTATCCTTCTTATTGTGCGTTCGGATTCCAGCAGACACCAAGGATTCGGGGCCATAGAAATTAAGGCCTTCCGCCAATCCGGGCGCGACGGAATCCAATTCCCCGGGTTCCAAAGTGTCTAGATTAGCTCCTTTGCTCTCCTCGGTTTTCAGGGCCACATCGAGGAAGGAGTTGAGATCGTTGTCGAAGCCTCCGGGCCAGAATGGAAGATTGTTCACCGAGCCGCGAACGTTTTTCTTCACCGGGGCTGGTTCACGTTGCAAAGATGTCTGAGGAAAAATTAAAAAAATAAATTATAACATCAAACTCAAGTAGTGTTACAACAAATACTGAGAAAAGGTTCTGTACAACAAAACTTTCTCAGTCCTTGGCAGAAAGCCTGAAGAATACAGAAGTGGTATAGATGTTACTATATATACAAACACAGTTCATTCAAACACTATGTTTTCTGTAAAATACATTGTTTTCACAAATCACATTTGTACAAAGAAAAGGACATTTTCTAGTTTTTACAATTTAAAAAATCATTCTCTACAATAAAAATTGTGTGTGCGTGTAATGAAAAATTGCACCACAAAGATTCATTCAACAGAATGTTTGTAATGTACCACAAGGTACCACGGTTCATGTAAAAACAATCTTTTTTATAACGAAAAACTTGCCAATTTCTGTATTGTATTAAAAACTTTTTTAAGGAATATTTTGGGATCCTCCAGTTGGAATATTTCCTGAGGTAAATGTAAAGTCACAGATTTCCCTTTCCAAATTTGACAGTGACTGGTTCTTTGAACATACACGTTGCTTGGCCAACGTTTATTCGATAAAAATAATTAGAATAAATTTTGGAGAACTCAAATTATTCATGGAAATGACTTTTCCGTTTTGTTACTTGATTAAATTTGAATCGCGCTCTTGTTTTGGCAGCTATCAGAATGGATATGAAAAAAGATAGTATGCCAACATTCACTCTTGAGCTCAAGATATTCTTCATAGGTTGGAATGTGCAAAAATTTATCCAACAATTCCATGGCTGAAGCCTTGGATATGCCAACAATATTCAAGAATTTATTGAATTGAATTAATCAGGAAGCTTCATTTCCTGCTTTTCAGAGTTCACACAATATTCCCACATCCAAAACCCTCTCCCCTCCCAACCCAAATCTATCCAAAGGCATTCAATCCCTTCAGAATGGAAAACAGAGAAATAAGTCAAATGTGGATACCAAAAGAAAAGAAAATACATCCCAAAATATACATCTGCACAACTGATGCATACACCCACTTCCTTCCCGGATAATAAAAATATATGTATATCAGCAATAAGAATTGCAACATAAGGCAAATATACTGAACCCAGTTTAAAGCACAAGGTCTTCAGCCTGTTCCCAGATAATGTTGAGTTCAAAATATAATTTGGAGAGAATCTTTCATGAGATATCATATAAGGTTGAACAGTTCATCTTGGTCCTCTAGGATTTTAGAAAGGATCTTTTCATTGAATTTTAATAGTATCAAATCTTTTAGAATGCATTGTTTACATCAGTGGCCAAGTATTTTGTTTTACAAAAACACCAAGATTTTCAAAGAATCGCTTGAAAAATTCCGGAGAGAAAAAAATAGAAGAATTTGTCAAATTCGAAATAACAATAACAAAGTGTTCAGCACAACAATTTTTCTCAGGAGTCCCGTAAAGCTTGTTGTAACAGGAATTTACTGCATTACTCTGAATATGATTGGGTCTAGATTTTAAGGCACTCATGCGATTAAATGCATGCACAAAAATCCGTGTCCAAACAACCCGACGCTTTCAAAAAGCATGAAAAAATAAGGGATTCATATCCTCAAGTTTACGACTCAACATTTCCGAAAATATACTCCAACACTTACTGAGTTCGTCGCAGAGCCATGAACTGCAACGAATTCCTCTTCGAGCTCCAAGATTTCTCCGGACGCCACGTCTCGAAAAAATTTGAATTTCGTGTACTGCGAAGTCGGGAGATCATTATACGGCAAATACAGCTTTTGCAAGTCCACCTCGTGCTCCAACAGCTCTTGATTCTCATCCAACTATATTCAAAATATAGAAACGTCAATTTCTTTCAAAAGTCGACAAAAACACACACACACACACCTGGAACATGGGCAATCGCGTCCCTAGTGCGTTTCACGCGAGGTTCTATAGAACCTCTAGTAGCATTTACCGTCCCTCCGGTTTTCCATTGTAGCGTGACAGCCGGACAAAGTAAGAGATAAAGCTTATTTAGACGTATTGTTTAAAAAAAAAATATATCTATACACCGTGACGACTTCAACTGCACCGAAACGAGAGATGAATTGGTTCTTTTCACTCAAAAGCCGAAGTGAAAATGTTCCACGGCTTGGGAAGTTAAAAATGTTCATTTACAGAAAACCTGGTTATATATAATATCAACTCGAAAAGTATCCTTCCATCCACACATGAGTAAAACAGTTCAATCTCTCTACAATGAAATTCAAGGGGCCAGAAAAAAAACGTTGTAGACAGAATTTCATCACAGAAAATCCCTAGATTTTTGGGTATAGAGAACCCTACTATGGGACCAAACAAAATTTCGTTATAGAAAGAAATTCGTTGTAGTCGAAATCGCTGTAGAGAGAGAGAGTCCATCCGTATTTGTTTTCCTGTAGGCTGGTTACTGCAAAAAATGAGAAATGTAATTTTCGAAGGCACAGTATTTCTTCACGAGCCTTGTCTGAGGGGAACATTTTGGCTTTTTCGTTACTGAATTCTAAACTTCAATAGAAGCTGCTCAAATGGAGACCAAATGGAGACTGTCACTGTTTTCATCACAGAAATTCGGCAAGATAACAGCTGAACCTCACTGACTCAAATTCCAAGGGATCCACCAAAACATTTGACTTGGGAAAACTATCATTTTCGCCTTGAAAAAAGGAGATGATTGAAGGACGTTGTTGGGAATAAATCCCGACAAGGTAAGATTAGAATTTAGGATTGAGAGTTTGCAAAGTGAAGTTGTAAATAAAACACAAGAATTCGGTCGGGCTACGACCGGGGTGCAAAACACCCTATTTTAAAGTTGGTATATCTCGAAACACACACAAGATCTCGCGAAAATCTCGAAGAACGTTCGCTATCGACTCGACGATTCGGACTGCTGAAAAAGGGATGGGTTTGGAAAACAGGAAAACTGTCCTCCAAGGACGAAAAACNATAACAAAAAGGAGACAAACTATCCTCAGCAAGCACCGACTGCAGGATCAGCACCGGATCTTTTCGTCACAAGGGGCTTCACCAATTCTTCCGCATTCGTTGGATGGATCCCAACACTTCTGTCCAAAATTGCTTTCGTCAACCCAGCTCTGATGAAGATGAAAAACATGCCATTGGATCACTTCGTACAAACACAGGCTTCCTATAATCAACAACCTCGCAGATAATAAATACAAATGAACCTCTGATGAGCCAATATCTGTATTTGGATAAACCTCAGGATAACGCAACCTTATTTCAAAATGAGTCCCTGTGTATAACAAAACTAATCCATTCTTGGGTGCATTTTTCTTGTCCTGTACAGAACTGTTGTCTTAACTGACATGAACAAATTTAATTGTATCTCAAAATTGCTGATCAGGCAAATGAACTTTGGCAAGTTGAATAGTTCTACCAATCACTGACTTGGGTTTGGAAATTAAATCATTTTCTGCAAGCTTTTAAAGAATACAAGGAATACTCTCAAGAGAGGTTTTCATACAGGAGTGTTTTATACAGTAAAATCCCATTACAGCAAACTTGTGGGGACTTCAGAAGAAGTTTGTTATAACAGATCATTTGTTATACAGTATCACGATTTTCAAACATTTTGACAGATGGCAAGATTTTCTGAAAAGTAAACCTGCATGCTTTCAACAAATTCCTTTTGTAGCTTTTTCAGATATTTCTCAGCATTTTGAAAAACTGATATTTTCAAAAAGACATTTATATGCTAATAACAAGCAATTAATCTGAATAACAGATGTAAACTAGAACTTTTTGTTGTGTAAGGTTTTCTGAACAATTCCTGCACAGATTTGGAAGGTTGGATGTTCCAAAAAAGCTTACAATTGTCAAGCATAAGTATTGTTTCTCAAGCATAGAAACCCTTTTTAACATGGGTTTTGTTGGGTTCATTTTTTCCATCTACTACAAAGCACAATTTTCCTTAAGGTTGCAGCAAGGGTGAATGATGTACTGTGTTCCAGACACTCTAAAAAAGGCCCGAATAGACCATTACAGCTTTAAATCTTTCCGTTTTTTTGCATGAAAATTCTGAATTTTAAATCCATCAGTATGCAATTTTTGAAGGTTTGAGCTTGAACTTCCTAAATTTCATAAGTTTTTAAGACAAGAAGAGGCAGAAGTAAAGTATATACCTTTCTTTTCTCATTTCCTTACACTTCGGAAGTATTCCAGCGACTCCCGTAAAGGAATTGTTTCACATAACGAAAATTTTGGCCCAAAAACGCTCAAACTTCAGCAAATTTTCAAGTTTCAGTCGGAAATTTGAGCGTTTTCGAGCTGACAATTTTCGTCATGTCCCATTAATATTCTCACTACGACAATTTTCCGTTTCTCTTTTTCGTTATGCGGGGACTCACTGCAGACTTCGGACAACAACATCAGGACTTTTTTTTTTTTAATGAAGAAACTCACTTCATGGCCACTCCGAACCCTTGAACAACTTCTCCAGCGTTCGGACCCAAAAAGTGCAGTCCAAGAACTTTGCCGGGCTTCTCTCTTCCCGTGATGATTTTCAAATAACACTGCTTTGCGTCAATTTTCGGCAGGTAGAATTCCAGCGGCTTATAGAACGCATGATACACCTTTGAAAAAAATGCAACAAAAATCTTCAGAAAAAAAAAACCGACATAGTTCTGTTGAGAACTCAGCAGGATGTTGGAAATTTGAGGCGCGAAAAATAATCATGAAAAAGAGTAAACCGGAAATTCAAAGGACAACTCAATTAAAATAAATGATTTTAAATATTAAGTTTTTTTTTCTTGTTTAAAAGAAGAATTAAACGAATACAGAAACTCATAAAATAAAACGAGATTGAAAGAAATCAAAGATTGAGATTTTTGAAAGAGAATCATTTAATAAATAATCCTTCTGTAGCCTCTTCTTCATTCACGGACAAATACTGTAGTAAAAAAAGAAAAAATTCTCATTCTCCAGATTCCACCAAATGGCAAAAGAAGAGCTAAGTTAAAAAAAAGATCAATACATAAATACAGTGGGTCCTCACATAGCACTAATCCGTTTCTGAATGCGTTTCGTAACGTGGAATTTTTGTCATGCAAAACGCGGGCTTCCTTCCGGTCACATTGTAAATTAATCATTTCCAGAAACTCTTACAGAAGCCCACAATAAAACTGAGTACCTGCGGATTCTTCTTGGTTTTTTCAGCAAAAATTCGTGAATTTTAAATCAATGTTGAAGTAATCCTAACAATTTGTGGGAATAACTTTCTGAATTTCACAAATTATTGCAGCACGAAAAAAAGTATACCCTTGTTTAATAAATGTTTTCAATTGCGTTGAAAATTTTCCAAATTCCAGCCCAAAAATTTCTAAAATTCCAGCGTTTTTCAGCCAAAATCACTCATTACGTGAAACAATTTCGTAGTTGGATTCACGTTTTTCCCCTCGAAAATATTTCGTAATGCGGATTTTCCATCGTTTTAGACTTTCGTTACGCGGGGACTCAATCTACAACAGTATACAAAGCAAATCATCAACCTCAATGTTATCTTCGCCGAATTTCCCAAATGCCTCTTCTTCGCTCATGCCAACGCATCCATACTCGAGCGGCGTGAACACAGTCGTCGGCACGGCGGAATAATCCATTTTGGCAGACGGGTCCTTGCCAAAAACGCGGTCAGCCAATAGTCTCCCGGCTTGGGCAGCAACCGGTGTCAGCTCTTGTCGTCCATCCAACACATCCCCGATGGCGTAAATGCCGTTCACGTTGGTGCTCTCGCCGTCATGGCCCACGAGCTTGCCATTTTCAGTGTTCACCTCCACACCGGCGTTGGAGAGGTTCAACGCATCCGTCACTGGTCGACGACCCACCGCCAGCATCACGGTCTTGAACGCTTCCGAATGCGAAGCACCCTGAATGAATTTTTCAAAGGAACAATTTGTCTTCAATCCAGCAGGAAATAAACAAATGATTGGACATGCAGTAAAAAACTTGTCTTTTTTGCAGGAAAAATCATGGGTATGCTGTCTTAAATCAAGAAGCAAATAAAAAGATAGAGGTGATCTAACACTCATCATTGATTCAATTGCTAACCAATATGACTTGGGTCAGAGATTTCAATCATTTTCCATGACTTTTGAAGGAAACGCAAAAGTTAGTCTGTGAGAGTATTATGAAGTAACTAGCTGATTGTGCCCAGCCACACCTGGGCAATATTTGGAAATATGAGTAAAATCCTGAAACTAAAAAAAATGCCCAACAAATTAATGTACACTACCAACATACAATACAAAACAGACTACTGTACTCTTGCACCTGCCTGACCATACAGACTACCCTACCCTATGCTACAACCTACCCGTCACCACAACCTAACCTACCCTACAAACTATGGTACTTCCCTGTTATCTCAGCACCTACTTTCCGTGCACCTACCAGAAACTGTGAATTTCATTTTTCCGCATTCTGCTGAAACTGATTTTGGGAGGCGGTTAGGTAAAGTTAGGTTAGGTCAGGTTATGTTAGTTACAAATATCTTTCAATTAACATAACCTGACCTAACCTAACCTAACGAATACTGAATTCACAAGACAAAGAAAAATGGGTACTGAGATAACAGGAAAGTACCCAAACTACCAATACAATATAACATTACAGAGCAGAGCAACAACAGCAAGGTTTCAGATAGGCCTACAAATGCTGTAAGCTTGCTTCAACCAAAAACACACACTGTATTTCTAACTTTGGTCAGCCAAGGTCATGGAACACACAAAGCAACCAATTTGGATTGGGAGCATCATACTTCGTTTGTAAGGTGAAGGAAAGGAACATAAATGAGGTTGGGAAAGGGAATTCCAGTTGGCAACAGGATTTTAAAATAATGACTTGCACTCTAGTCACAACAAAGCTAGCAAAACACATTAAAATTACAGTATAAGGGCTTTCAGAAAGTGTTTGAATATTGTAGTCAATATCACGACTACAGGTGATTTTGAACTTTTGAGACCAGCAAAACTTTGAAGAAGTGCTTCTTGGAACATACAGTGAGTCCCCGCATAAAGAAAGACCCAGAAAAAAAAAAGTTCACAATACGTAATTGATTGAAAAATTACAAATTTCAGGTTACATTATGCAGTAAATTAATTAATTTGTTTCAGAAACTCTCTAAAAGCCTGTAATAAAGCTTTAAAAACTGCATATTATTGTTAGTTTTCAGCATAAATTTGTGAATTTCATATTGATCCGTGTTACACTGAGACAATCCTGACACGCTCGCGGTAATAATTTTCTGAAATTTAAAATTAAAAAAAGAGTCGAACAATGACCCTTCCTTATTGATAATTTCCGTCAATTTTTTAGAAAAATTCCGAAGTTTCAGCCCAACACTTGCCAAAATCCGAGTGTTTTCTAGCCACAAAAAAAGTACGTTGAACGATTTCGTAATGTGAGTCACACTTTTCCCCCTGAGAATTTTCGCAACGTAGATTTTTCGCTGTGAGAGTCTTTCGTTATTATGCGGGGACTCACTAAATTACTCACGTCCTTGTCTTTCCAAGTGACTTTTACGTTCCCATCGTCTTTCCGGAAACCGCTCGGAAGACAACGTCGCAAAAACTTCACTCCTCTCGCCTCCATGTTTTGCACGATCAACTTGGCAATTTCTCGATCGAAACCCCGCAACGGAATTGACCTCAGCATTACGGTGACGTCAAAGCCGAGCCCGCGTAAAAAACCCGCCGTCTCCAAAGCAACATCTGTAAGCATTCATGAAGATAAAAAATAAATCACACTCGTCGTTTCACCTACCGATTTATTTTTTATTTTTTTCGTTAGAGGAAATCCACGAAATTCTCACACGATCCCCCGACGATCAATGATTTTCCGGGAGGCGATTTCAGCGTGAAAACGTCGTCGCTGGTGATGCAGTTTTCCTTCGCTCCTTCGACGTCGGGGTAAACAGGACGACCCCCAACTGCAATGACGACGTTCTTGGCTTTCAGGAAAGATTCT